TTTGGAAGAGGCACTGGCTCCGACTCTGGAACAGGCACTGGCTCCGGCTTTGGAAGAGGCACTGGCTCCTGCTCTGGAACAGGCACTGGCTCCAGCTCTGGAAGAGGCACTGGCTCCGGCTCTGGAACAGGCACTGGCTCCGGCTTTGGAAGAGGCACTGGCTCCGGCTCTGGAACAGGCACTGGCTCCGGCTCTGGAACAGGCACTGGCTCCGGCTCTGGAAGAGGCACTGGCTCTGGCTCTGGAACAGGCACTGGCTCTGGCTCTGGCTCTAGAACAGGCACTGGCTCTATCTCTGGAACAGGCACTGGCTCCGGCTTTGGAAGAGGCACTGGCTCCGGCTCTGGAACAGGCACTGGCTCTGGCTTTGGAAGAGGCACTGGCTCTGGCTCTGGAACAGGCACTGGCTCCAGCTCTGGAAGAGGCACTGGCTCCGGCTCTGGAACAGGCACTGGCTCCGGCTCTGGAAGAGGCACTGGCTCCGGCTCTGGAACAGGCACTGGCTCCGGCTTTGGAAGAGGCACTGGCTCCGGCTCTGGAACAGGCACTGGCTCCAGCTCTGGAAGAGGCACTGGCTCCGGCTCTGGAAGAGGCACTGGCTCCGGCTCTGGAACAGGCACTGGCTCCGGCTTTGGAAGAGGCACTGGCTCCGGCTCTGGAACAGGCACTGGCTCCGGCTCTGGAACAGGCACTGGCTCCGGCTCTGGAACAGGCACTGGCTCCGGCTCTGGAAGAGGCACTGGCTCTGGCTCTGGAACAGGCACTGGCTCTGGCTCTAGAACAGGCACTGGCTCTATCTCTGGAACAGGCACTGGCTCCAGCTTTGGAAGAGGCACTGGCTCCGGCTCTGGAACAGGCACTGGCTCCGGCTTTGGAAGAGGCACTGGCTCTGGCTCTGGAACAGGCACTGGCTCTGGCTCTGGCTCTAGAACAGGCACTGGCTCTATCTCTGGAACAGGCACTGACTCTGGAACAGGCTCACAAAGAGCCAGTTTGGACATCAGCAGGATGCCCTCGGGCAGCCAGGGCGGTCAAGACCCCTTGGGTGGCCAGGGCGGAGATGGAATCTCAGGAGACCGGCTCGGGACCAGACACCAAAACTGTAACGGCCACAAGAACAGACACAAACACAGAAACAAACACTGGCTCTGGCTCTGGAACAGGCACTGGCTCTGGCTCCGGCTCTGGAACAGGCACTGGATCTGGCTCTGGAACAGACACTGGCTCCGGCTCTGGAACAGGCACTGGCTCTGGAACAGGCAGACCCTGGCTCCGAATCAGGAATAGCAGATACCGGCATATCCAGGATCCGCGCCAGACGTTCCAAATAGTCCATAAGTGCCTTGGCTTCACACAAATGGGCATCTCCTGATCTGACTGGGCAGACGTGACGTTAACAGTCCCTGACTGGGCAGACGTGACGTGAACAGTCTCTGACTGGGCAGACTTGATGTGAACAGTCCCTGACTGGGCAGACGTGACGTGAACAGTCTGTGACTGGGCAGACGTGACGTGAACACTCTCTGGCTGGGCAGACGTGACGTGAACAGTCTCTGACTGGCAGGGCATGGCATGGCAGGGCATGGCATGGCATGGCATGGCATGGCATGGCATGGCATGGCATGGCATGGCAGGGCATGGCATGGCAGGGCATGGCAGGGCATGGCAGGGCAGGGCAGGGCAGGGCAGGGCACAGAACTCCATGCGACTAACACACATCACAATAACAATGACCGAGCACAGAACAGCAAACACAGGTATACTAAATAGGAAGGCAAACAAAGGAGGGTAACGAGGAGGACAGGTGGAACAAATAAACCAATAATCAGCTAACAAGGGGGAGGGACCAGACAATGGCAAGAGCACATGGCCCAAAAATAACAAAACACCCATGTGCATCACAACACAGACATGTGACAAATATTGCTTGCTGGACTGTTATTAAATGGTCATTGTTACAGTATTATTTTCCTTCTTTCTGGTAAAAATACAACTCAAGACCATTAAACAGGCAAGGCCATGGGAGCTGAGCCATTTGAAAGGGAAACTTGATATTCTAAGGACATATTTATCTCAACTTAATTCAAAGTTAAGTTGAGTGACTTTTTTAAACAGTAAAATCGCAGAGAAAAACTTAAAAATAAATAAATAAATATGGTGGTTTTTTTTTTTTTGCTTTTTTGAGAATGAGGGCCAAATAAATAGACAGACAAAAGAAATGGATAGATAGATAGATAGATAGATAGATAGATAGATAGATAGATAGATAGATAGATAGATAGATAGATAGATAGATAGATAGATAGATAGATAGATAGATAGATAGATAGATAGATAGATAGATAGATAGAAGGTTACAGAGGAAAACAGGAATGTACAGCATATTTATGAGTGACCCAAGTGAAAAAGTAAAGCGAGAAGTGACTGGCCTTATTCGGTACTTTCATGCCCATGATATTTAGATGAGGGGACAGGCCAATTCTGGCTTTCTAGAAATTAACAACAGGGTATGACTTTTCAGAATATGCCTTCCTCAGCATATGTCATAAGTGAAAGGGAACTATCAGGTTAAACATTATGTTCACAAAATTAGTCAAATAGCATGTTTTTCATAGCAGAAGTACCTATATACGTGTCCTTTGGTGCTTTCAGGATGTAGGTACATAATGTCAAGGGGTATCACTGGGGAATGTCTCTGTCTGAGTTCCTCTAAAGGTAACCAAGCTATTTAAAGTTGCTACACTCTTTCAAATAAAGGTTCTTCATGGCGGATCAATAAAGAACCTTTAACATTTGTAAAACCTTTTCATAGCACAAGTGGGAAAGGGTTTTTTAAATGATTAAACTGTTCACACAAAGGAAAATAAGGTTCTTTGGGGAACCAAAAATAACTATTCTATGGCATTGCTGCTAAAAAACCCCTTAAACCTTTATTTTTAAGAGCAGCTTTGCACTGTTGGACTGTAAACTCAAAGGACAAAACTGCCCCAAACTGAGTTTTCATGTGCGTCTCTAATTCTAGCAATTAGTGACACATGTGTCAAAGCAAAGAAATGTGTCATTTAAACCATAATGCATGCTTGAGGAAATTTCATGGCCCGGCGAGTGAATTTTAATAACACCTAATGACTTATATCTTGCTACAGAGTGTCTTTGCACTTTTGAGGAATGTGTTGCGCTTCTGACATCAAAGGGACCTGCCAGAATGATGTCAGTCCACTGCCCTTTTAAAGGCTCTTCCTTAAACATAGGCAACCTATAACAAATAAGCTTTCACTGAATTCTTGCCTACAGGTCCTCCAAACAGCCATAGACACACAATGCAATAAATGTATGTTTCACCTCCTGAAATACCCAAAATTGCCAACCGCCCACGAGACATGGTTTCCCCTTGCGCGGCATACAGAAGTACAGTGTTTAGATCATTTGCAAAGCAAAGGCAGAACAGAGGAACTACTGTTCCACACATTTACACTGCTCTAACCACAGATCTTTATCAGTCCTCTTATCACTTATCAACTACATGTTTGGTTTCTGTCACACATTTATTTGAAGCAGACATGAGACGAAAGGGAAAATTCATATACCCCATATTTTCTCTAGAATTCAGAGAGACTGAGCAAGGAAGAGCCTAGTATTAAGTTATGAACAGTTGCAGACAATGTGCAAACTATATAGCTAACCTACATTTTAGAATTCAAAGTCAATTTTTCCTTTAGAGTTTAAACTCTCGGAACTCCACTTCTATTTTTTGCCACATCAGCCTTTCCTTCATGTTTATAGTTCTCTCACTTCCTTAATTATCTCCCTTATAATGTGTATATTTGTGCTTGTGGTTAAAGGTCTGACCTCCTGATTATATTCAAGACAAGAACAGAATTCGGACAAAAATGAAAAGCAAGAATTTTAATTTCTCATTTTCATCTAATGAAGATTATATCGAATCATCTAATCTAATATTAATATACAGTATCTATTATTTCATATAGAGTATTGGGGTAGTAATGGCACAGTGGATAAGACACATGCCTTTGGTGTGAGAGACCCGGGTTCGAATACACTGCGAGACACCATTGTGTCCCTGAGCAAGACATTTAACCCTTTGTTACTCAAGAGGTGTGTGACCTCTGACATATATAGCAATGGGCTATATGCACGCATAAGTTCCGCATTTGACGTAAGGATGCTCATCCATTTCCGGTTGTGTAGATTAAAGCGGAGGAAAACCGGAGAAAACGGGATTATGGCAGAGTCTTCAATATTTACTGTCCTCCCGTCTTTGAAACGAAACGTACATACGTTTAGATGTAATTTTATATATAGTTATGTTTATTTAATATAATTTTAAAAAGAAGCATAAACACAACGAGGGGTGTCTGTTTTATCTGTTTTTGTGACTTACGTTTCATTAGTATAACCATGGAGTATAAAATTCAATATAAATTCTCGGTATTGCATTGGACTCTATGATCGGCGGAAGTTATCGAGCATCCTTAATCCTTCACCGGAAATAACGCCGTGCATAGAGCCCATTGTAAATCACTTTGGATAAAAGCGTCAGCTAAATGAATACATTTAAATTTAATTGTGTTGTGTCCTTAAAGTGTTATTTATTAACAGTTTCTCCAACAAACCAAACAAGGTACCAAATCTCAAGGGCAAATGTTGGTGAATTTTGAAGATATAAATATTTTCAACATAAGGATAATTAAGGACAATTAATTCAAATGGATTCTATAGTGTGTCTCTTTATTGTGTAAAAAATAAGTTACAAAGAGGGCAAATGTTGCCCCTTAATAAAAATAAAATAAAATAAAATAAAGTTTCTGACATGGCAATAGACATACTAGCCTATACTCTACATCAGGGATGCCCAACCCTGCTCCTGCCGATCGACTGTCCTACACAGTTTATCTACAACCCTAATCAAACACACCTGCCTTTAATTTTCACGTGAACCTGAAGACCTTAATTGGTTGCTTCAGGGGGGACTAATGATTCTCTTTGTTCGGTTTAGTATAGTAAATAGTAGACTGACATAGACTGATACACATGTGACACTGGGGAAAATAAGTGCTTATATATAAGTATATAAGTATATAACTATAGGCTAATGTAGGTTGTTAGGCTACTCTATTTCAACACACAGTTAGACACCGTTAGAACTTCTGAAACTGGTCTATAATGGGAGTGATGACAGAGAGGGGAAGAGAACCCTATTAGTAATTTAGCAGAGAATGACCGCGCGCGCCTTTAGTGGTAATTTTAACACTTGTTCATTGTGAGTTCTTGTTTTTGAGAATCCGCATAAGTTTGCCCAAGGGTTACGTGGGTGTTATCGAGTGGGAATGTGTGGAATAAAAGCCCGCACAGACCCTGCGAAAGAACACACGACGCATCTCGGGCTCGGACAGACGCACTTGATTTTTCTGCGCTAAATTTGAAGCGCGCAACAGACCGAAGGTAAGACATGCATAAGCTTGGAGCTACAAACTAAACTCACTTAAATGATATTCATTTACATTACAGCTCTATGTATAAACGTTTATAGGCTATACACATATACAGGGTTATAATAAGAGAAAAATAAGTTTGAACAATAAATAGCCTATAGTTTCAATTTTGTATACATACAACGTGGAAAGATTATATTCTCCAGTGCGACATACTCTAGTTTCGCTGAATCTTAGTATTAAATTCTGTCAGTTTCATGAGCTCAGAGATCATGCGAAATATTTGCCTTTGTAAAAGACATGTGGAACCTGAAAAAAAGAAAACATTTAATGGTGAATAAAAATGGTGACCAGTTATAAAATAGGCTCCATATTTCCCCTATTCATTTGATATATGTAAAAAAACAAAAAAACAACAACAATGTTTTATCCTTGGTTCAGGGATTACAATTGCAAAAATTATTGAATATTTTTATGATGACCGTTATTATTATAATTGATCATTAACAAATATGGGTTAACGTCCAATCAATATTGCTACACCAATGCTTGATGAGGGTATTGTGATAATTTTTCTTTGGCATTTTCTTTTGATCATTTGATCACTGAATTAAACAAATAATAAATGTTTAATATTTCAATTTCAATTTAATATTTCAGATGGGTTCTTTGATGTGGTTCATCGTGCTCTTCTGTTTGTCCATAACGAGGATGTCTGCGCTTAACTTTTTCCCTGATAAATGTGAGAGCACACACACATCTATCTATCTATCTATCTATCTATCTATCTATCTATCTATCTATCTATCTATCTATCTATCTATCTATCTATCTATCTATCTATCTATCTATCTATCTATCTATCTATCTATCTATCTATCTATCTATCTATCTATCTATCTATCTATCTATCTATCTATACTAAGTCCATTTTGAGTATTAAATACAAGCAGTTGTCTGTCTGTCTGTCTGTCTGTCTGTCTGTCTGTCTATCTATCTATCTATCTATCTATCTATCTATCTATCTATCTATCTATCTATCTATCTATCTATCTATCTATACTAAGTCCATTTTGAGTATTAAATACAAGCAGTTGTCTGTCTGTCTGTCTGTCTGTCTGTCTGTCTATCTATCTATCTATCTATCTATCTATCTATCTATCTATCTATCTATCTATCTATCTATCTATCTATCTATACTAAGTCCATTTTGAGTATTAAATACAAGCAGTTGTCTGTCTGTCTGTCTGTCTGTCTGTCTGTCTATCTATCTATCTATCTATCTATCTATCTATCTATCTATCTATCTATCTATCTATCTATCTATCTATCTATCTATCTATCTATCTATCTATCTATCTATCTATCTATCTATACTAAGTCCATTTGAGTATTAAATATAAGTAGTTGTCACTTTTCATGCTTGTGCATATTAAATTGCCCACAATAGGTGCATCTATTCTGTGCTCTGAATTGCTTCTCTTTATGCAGTTGAAATTGGTGAAAAACACACATCCGTTACCCTGACCTGTAAAACGAATAAAGACAGTGTCACATGGAAACGTGATACCATAGAAATAAAGGAATCAGATTTTGAAAAACCCAGTGGTCGAAGTCTGACCCTGATCGACCTTCAGGAAGACCTAATCGGGAATTACACCTGCTGGAGTGATACGGGTCTTGAAGACTACACCTATCTCCTGCTTGACAAGTCTAAAGAAGATACAGGTGGGAGCGTCATATATTCCTAACATTCCTATCAAGTAATGCAGATCTTAAGTTTATATGGGAATAAGGTTTGGTAAATGATTGTTTGATAGGAATGTCATACTAACACCAAAAAGAATGTTGACCATACAAAGTTGTGGCATTCTAATATTCATTAACCATGTTGTTAGTTAACCATTCAAATATTACACATTAAAGCACTGTCCAGAATGGTAAAACCACAGTATTTTATAATAGCTTGATCAGAGGGCATATGAAGCAGTAAATCAATTCATACATTTATTTATTTATTTAATATTTAATCATATTTTTAATAAGCATTCTATTGATGAAATAGTCACTTGGTTAAAAAATAATGCTAAATGCAAATATTAAATTCAACCAACCATAAAATTTCACATAGCTTATCAAACAGTGAGAAAACACTTTCCATATATTTTGTGGTTGTGTGTCTATAAGGACTTAAGGTAGTTCACTTTTTAAAAAAAACTTTTGCTGATAATTTCCTCACCCCCATGTCATCCAAGATGTCCACGTCTTTCTTTCTTCAGTCGAAAAGAAATTAAGGTTTTCGATGAAAACATTCCAGGATTTTCTCCATATAATGGACTTCAATGGGAACCAAACGGTTCAAGGTCCAATTGAGAGTTTCGGTGCAGCTTCAAAGGGCTTTAAACGACACCAAACGATGAATAAGACTGACTCGTAAAAAGGTTTGTTCGTTTTGATGAACGAGTTTGAACAGGAGAGTCACGAACGCGCATCACAGAACAGAGCAAGGCGAGCATTTGAGCTTATAAAACTTCAACTTTTTTATTTATTTTTGAAATGACCGATCGTTTCGCTAGATAAGACCCTTATTCATCGTCTGGTGTTGTTTAAAGCCCTTCGAAGCTGCACTGAAACTCTCATTTGGACCTTGAACCGTTTGGTTCCCATTGAAGTCCATTATATCCTTAATTTCTTTTTGACTGAAGAAAGAAAGACATGGACATCTTGGATGACGGGGGTGGGTAAATTATCAGCAAAAGTGAACTACTCCTTTAAGGACATTTACTACTGTGTTATTTCTAGTGTTTGAAGCAAAACTTGGGAACCATTTATCTAGATCATTATTTGTGTATTATTATCTGCCTGTTGGATAATAGGAAGGCTGCTTAGTTTTTGGACAGTATTCAAGTGTATGTCTGTTCAGTTAGGTTTAGATTTTTCAGCGTATTTCTTTCTTCCTTTTCAGTGTTTAACATCAATTGCACAGCTGAAACTCTTTCCTGCACTGAACACATCAAATGTACTTGGACCTCTGAAGAATTTACAGCTTTCAGACTTCGCAATACAAGGTATCAGACACCCAAACACACACACACACACACACACACACACACACACACACACACACAGATTAAATAAGCTGATTTTATCTCTGACTCAACTGAACATGCGTGTGGTGTTTATTTAGGGATAATGGTAACTGGGTGTCACAGCCTGTGGATGGGTTATTTTTCCTCCCACATTCAACTAATTCCTATTCTGAAGAATCGGAGCGACTGCTGATAACAGGGGAGGCAGTTTCCCCATGTTGCTATTTGAAAACTGACTACAGCTTCTACCTCCGAGACATTGGTGAGTGTGTGGGTTAAGATTGTAAGTTTATGCTCTGATTAACTCAGTAAGTTAGTTACCATTAAAGTATTTAAAGAAGCAGGCTTTCTTCACAATGTGTTCTTTGTCTTATTTTAAGTAATTTTAAGTCATCATGTTGGGCATGTTTTATGGGGACTTTCCATAGACATAATGATTTTTATACTGTACAACCATATATATTATATCCCCTTACCCTCCCTAAACCTACCCATCACAGAAAACTTTCTGCATTTTTTCATTTTCAAAAAAAATCGCATACTACGGTTTATAAGCTCTTTTTTAGTGGAAAGCCAAAGCTTTCTGGTATTCCGAACCTTCAATAAAGACAAGTTTTTAAAAGTTAAATCTATCTATCTATCTATCCATCCATCCATCCATCCATCCATCCATCCATCCATCCATCCATCCATCCATCCATCCATCCATCCATCCATCCATCCATCATCCATCCATCCATCCATCCATCCATCCATCCATCCATCCATCCATCCATCCATCCATATATATATATATATATATGTACAGTATATGTATATATAAGTCATTCAGCAGCCCCTTTGGAAGTTTGCTGGGGCCCTCTAGTGGACGAATGGTTGAAAAACACTGGTCGAAAGCACATCACCACTGATTGAAAGTGATGTCTCTTGTTTTCCCTAGTTAAGCCAGCCAATCCAAACATTTCAATCTGCACAGTAAAAAATAAGGGGAGTGATAAGCAAATCGTAGAACTGGAGGTGATGCCACCTTCTTCCTGGCCGCAGCCTCACAGTTTCTTTCCTCTGAAGCATCAGGTCGAGTACCAGATTCGACACAATGGGGAGGTACGAAATGCTCTCCTGCACACACCAATGCACATCTTTAAAGATTAGTTCACCAAAAATGAAATAAATATTCAGTCATCCTTTACTTTTATGCCATCCCAAACCTGTATGACTTTGTTTCATGATAAAGTTTAACAGAATTATAATCAGTGACGCTGTCTACACTGGATGCAAAGAGGCGCGACACACATTCCCGACAGTAAACTGATGCCCCATTCTATTTCTGACATACGTCTGACACCAAGAACTAATGGATTTGCAATTGCAACGGTCACTATTTCCAGTGTAGACAGCCTCAACCTGGGAACAATTCAAGTCATTAATTACTGAAAATCATGTTCGTTTTAGGGTGAAGTATTTATTTAAGAACTGTAATTAATTCTCTTGTTTTCTGTTTCTGTATATTCACAGCTGAAGACTAAAGAATGGGAGAAGGAGTCAAAGATTGAAGTTGAAGGGCATATCAGAAAACTAAGGGTGCGCTCCAGAGACATGCTTCTCCTCTCTCAGTGGAGCGAGTGGACCTCATGGAAAAACGTAAACTAGTGATTTAAACCTCCCTTCCTCCTGAACCCTTTATTTATATCTCCTGTCCCATTTCCTGTTCCTTATTTATTTATTTATTTATAATAGTGTTCATGTTTGAATGATGATGACACTGGTTACTTATGACTGTTACACACACACACTGTATGACTGTATGCACCATGTCTCTGTCCTATTAAAACATTTGCTCTTCTTTTCTGTTTCTTTATTCCTTAAAGCCCCCCTAGTCAATAATTTCATCCTTAAAACAGCATATTTAAACTAGAGCTGTCAAACGATTAATCGCATCCAAAATAAAAGTTTTGTGTTTACATAATATATGTGGGTGCACTGTGTATAATTATTTTATATATTTAAATACACACACATGCATGTATATTTAAGAAAAAAAATATTTATATATAAAATATTTATATTTATATATAATATTAATTATATATAAATCTATATACAGTATATACCGTACATGAAAATATTTCTTAAATACATACAAGCATGTGTGTTTATTTATATATATGCAAAATAATTATACACAGTGCACCCACATATATTATGTAAACACAAAACTTTTATTTTGGATGCGTAATAATCGCGATTAATCGTTTGACAGACCTAATTTAAACGTTTTTTTTTCCCAGTGAAAATGATTTCTACATACCAAAATAGCTTGAATGTACACTCTTGCTTAATTTAGTATACACGGATGCATGAATATACAAATTATCCCCGCCTCCAACGACTCGCACCAGCTCAGAATACCTAATCCAAGTGGAAATACTAGTTTAATTCAGTCCAATATGTTTGAACCAGAGACTGATTCAGAAGAAGTGGAAGATTTAATTATACCGGCTCATACAGTGCTGGTCAGAATTATTAGCCCACTTGGTAAATATGATGAAAGATGGCTGTAAAAAAGAAATAAAATAAAACATCAAAAGGATTAACAATGCGGATTTATTTTTTACAGCCATCTTTGATCATATTTACCAAAGGGGCAAATAATTCTGACCAGCACTGTATATCAGAATGATAACACGTTTTATGTATCGCTTTCTACAATATAGAGACATTGACAACACATAACAGCACGTGAATTCGTACGAATTTTACGAGGTGGCTAATTCGTAACAATTCATACGACCTCACTCGTACGAATTAGTACGATTTTCGTACGGAATTCGTACGAATAACCTACCCCTGACCCCGCCCCTAAACCTACCCATCATGTGGGTTTAGACAAATCGCACAAATTCGTACGAGTGAGGTCATATGAATTAGTACGAATTAGTCACTTTTTAATCATTCGTACGAATTGGTCGTGAGATAGGGTAGGTAAGTCATATGATTAGCCTTTTGTTTGACTACGTTATCAAACAGCTAATAAATGTGTTGCTAATGTTACACAAACCATGTTCCTGTTCACATCTCAGTCTGCCTTCTGAAAATCAGTATCCTTAGAAACGCCTGAACAACTTAGAACGTCAGTAGAGAAAAGCATATAGTTCATCATAAACATAATTCACCCGCTATATTGCTAAATGCACCCTGGATTTTCTCTTGAGACGCCTCTGCTTCACAACATAGTTGATAAGCTAAAGCCCGCCCGCACGTTGACATGATTGGTTCTAACATGTTTGTGACGTAGAGAACAAGGGCGATTAAAACCGTGCTTTTGTCTTTGGTTAAATGCAGTTTTAAGGAGAAAATACTCAGCAATGGCGTTGACAGATGAATTTGATCATAGTTTGTAAAGTTGTACACGTTTATAAGTCTGGGGTTGGTAAGGTTTTTTAATGTTTTTGGAAATAGTCTCTTATGCTCAACCAAGTTTTATTTATTTATTATTTTTACAAGTTTTATAAAAAATGAATATTGTGAACTATTATTACAATTAAAATAACTGTTTTCTATTTTCATGTATTTTAAAGTGTAAATGGATGATTATGATGGAAAAATGTCCAATTCATTGCCTTGCTGACCCCAAAGTTTTAAACAGTGTGTATACGAGTGAGAAGCTTTGTGTCCCGATATCTTTGTGTGTTTACGACAGAATGCACATTGATTTCTTGTTCTCTGTATAGGTGCATGACAGGGAAACAAGAACCCGTACCAAAGAAAGGGGCAAGGAAAAGAAGAGGCAAAAAGAAATAAGAAATAAGAAAAATCACAAGAAAACCGGCAAGGGGAAAAAAAGAAACTTCTGAACTGGGCATGTTTTAGAATTACTAAAAGTATATTAAAAGTCTAAAAGTAAAATATCTAAAAGTATATTTTTATTCTAATTCTAGCACTGGAATGGTTTACCTAGGTCTTTTAGATCGATCTCCTCTTTTCACCAATTTAAGATTTATGCTTCATGCATGTATATGCATGTTTGTATATGTACAATATATGTATATGTGTGTGAATATGTTGTCTTCTTTCTTCTTCTCAATTGTCTATATGAATGACCTTAACTGCTTATTGCCTAATATATAATGGTTGGCTTGATGAAGATATGGGTGGTTTTGGTGTGATGGAGAGCTTTTGTCTTTGTTCTGTTAGTAAGTATATATGTGAAGTTGTTTTTCTTGAGGTCCCCTCGAAAAAGAGAAGTCACATCTCAAGGGATTTTCCTCTTAACAATAAACTTCAAACACTAAATAGAGAGCGAATTTGTGTATAAGATTGAATAATGCTAAATATTCATTGCAATGCTAAGCTGAGTATTCAACCGCAGGGGGCAACAGTGAGTTAGGTTCTCCTTTTGGGGCTTTATGAAATTCTCTACTTTGAAAAAGAAAAATCAATAGAGCTCACAAATGGAAATATGTATAGTAAATATATAAAGAAATAAATAATTTTCAGAAATATTTATTGATATTATTATTGTGTTATTTTCCTTCTATGTCTCTGTTCTTTTTAACTGCACTCTTTTACTTGTGTGTCCTCTTGGTTTTCTCTTTGCTCATCCGTTATGACTGTGTCTTGCTGCAGTTGCATCAGGGTTTCATTTTGATTGGCAGGATGAGCCGTAAAAAACAGCCAATGGTTATTGTCCCGCTCAGCTTTATGGGAGTCCAAGAAGGTGTGAGCAGTGAGTTCATATTCTTTACCAAACGGAGTCCTAAACACACAAACAGAAAAGAAAAACACTAGTAAATATACCCATAATATGAATATTAAATTAGACTGACCTGTTTTAAAGCTCAAGTATATACTGTATTTATATATACACACACACACACACACACACACACAGTGCTGGTCACGTCTAAACAAGTAAATTAATTGAACGTAGGGGAGAAAATCAAAAAAAAAAACACTTTTATTATGCCCACAGCCATCTGGTCAAAAGTTTGGAAAAATTACTATTTTTTTATGTTTTTAAAAAAAGTCTCTTATGCTCATCAAGGCTGCATTTATTTGATCAAAAATACAGAAAAAATGTGTAATATTGAAAAATATTTCTATTAGTTTTTCTATTTGAATATACTTTAAAATATAATTTATTTCTGAGATGCAAAGCTCAATTATTCGCCTTATTACTCCTGTCTTCTGTGTCACATGTTCCTTCAGAAATGATTCTAATATGCTGATTTACTATTAACGTTAGAAACAGTTGTGCTGCTTAATATTTTAGAACTTGTGATACTTTTTTCAAGATTCTTTGATGAATAAAAAGTAAAAAAAGAACAGGAGTTATTTAAAATAGAAATCTTTTGTAATAATATATAGACACTACTGTTCAAAAGTTTGCGGTCAGCCAATTTTTTCGTTCTTTTTAATTATATGTATATAATGTATATAAAATTAATATATATATATATATATACATCAATGTTAAATGAAAATATACTATAATAAATTAATAATATAAATATATAATATATATAAATATATAATATATAAATATATAATATAAATTATATAAATTATAAATAAATTATATTTTAAAGTATATTAAAATAGAAAACCAGTATTTTAAATAGAAATAATATTTTTAAATATTATTGTTTTTTTCTGTATTTTGATCAAATAAATGCAGTCTTGAGGAGCATAAGAGACTTCTTAATGCAACATAATTCTGAGTGAGACAAAATAACAAGTAAATGAAGAATGCAAAGTGGATTTTATTGATTAGGAATTTCATTTTGGAGTACTTGTAATATTAAGCCATTCCCTCAACACTTGAGTTGAAACTTTTACAGTATAAAATAAAACATTACCATAGGATGTGATTGCCGAGTGCAGCCAAACATTGATTTGTCTTACAGTGGGAAATCAAAACCTTGCTGTTCACCTGCCAAAAAAAGCATTCACGTCAGGTTATTAAGTTGCCAATAAAAACAAATGAAAAAGATTTTCTTTGAAAGTGTGTGCACCTGAACAGGGTATCCCTCGTTTTCAAGCCTTTCTTGGGGGTCAAAGTAAAGGACCTTCCACCAGCACAGGAAATCAAACTCCTCAACCAAACTCAACTCCTGTAGTCGAGACTTCTTCGCACACTTCTGAAATGTTCGGTGATCACTGGAAAGGAACAGCTATGTAGAGGCAAACAGATTGCATGTTAAGATAAGGCAAACTCAGCAATTACAAAACAACTGTGCTTACATTTCATTCGCTTGTTTACCTCTGCGGCAAAGCCTGCAGTAGTTCTCAGGGCAAAGCTTTGATCGTATCTGAGCAGCTCTCCTTCTGAGGTCCCATCAACACTGAATCACATGATATAACAGATCAGCAACTACATGTGGGCGATTGAGTACATCTGAATGTGCATGTGCAATACCTTGTAATGATAAAGGCGTTTCTAACACAAGGGGTCATGCTGTGGGATCCCCCCACTTGGAGGGGCCCGAGAAGGTGGGGGACTGAATTTGTCTCTGAACGTGATGCGATATCACTGATGTCGGCAATGATGCTAAGAACACAAGAGCCACGCTGGTCATGTTCTCCACCTCCAGAGTTCACCAGCATGATTGTGTCACCAAAGTGCAGAAAGCCATCCTGCGACACTGATAAACTCACCTAAACAAAATTTTTTATCAGTCTCACATCAGCAGACAAACAGTCACACTTAAAGGCGACACAAGACGGAAGTTGTATCTTTTCTTCCCTATTATGATATATATCCAAGTGAAAAGGCTTCTCTGACAAGAATAAATATAGGGGCAGGATGGCGGGTCTTGATATTGCCCATCAGGAATTGAATTGATGGTTGTGGTCTACTGTTGCTGTGATCTCATTCTCATGTGACGCACCAGTAGGAGAGAGAATAGATGTTGATGAAAGAAGAAGGATAAGTTGTTTTGGTTAAAGGGATAGTTCACCCATTTTGTCATCATTTACTCACCCTCAAGTTGTTCCAGACCTGTATAAGTTTCTTTCTGCGCCCATTGACTTCTATATATATATATATATATATATATATATATAGCCTATATATATGTATTTTTTTTTTTCTACTATAGAAGTCAATGGTGTCTGGTAACCAAAATTGTTTAAAATATCTTCTTTTGAGTTCAGCAGAGGAAAGAAACTCAGGTTTGGAACTTGTGGGTGAGTAAATGATAAAATATTTTGTGTGCATTTTTTGGTGAAAATTTTTGGGTGAACTATAATTTTTGAGAGTACATGAATGAAAATAATAATAATGATGTGCACGGAAAAATCCATTTTGATTTGATTGTGACTTTAAAAATGTCTGAGCATCATTGCATTAACGTTAGATTTTTTTTTAAATAAAATAAAGCATACAATTCAAGCAAACCATTTACGAAGGGTTTTGAATAACAGACAACAAATGAGGGTATTAATTACAGTATTATATCCTTCTTCTTGATATTTTCTCAGAAAAAATCGATCATCTTGCAGCAGAAATCATCTTCATTAAGTTATATCAGAAAAAATTGTTGTCTTACTGTTTTGAGAATGTTTTGTTTCAAAGCTCCTTCTTTCTGGACTGTGAGTTCGCCTCTGTCTTTTTGAAGAATGAAGTCCTTTAGGATTTCCTGCAGAGACACTTATCATTTAAGTTACTAGTGTGTTTAGATCACTAATGGAACTTTACACGCACACTCTGTAACTTAACGTTAACCCTTATTTAATAAGTAAAAACAACAAACCTCTTTTAAAGTCACGTCTTCAATCCAGTTTCCTACACGGACGTGCGGATTATAGGTCCGGACATGAGCCATGTTACATTCGTTATAGCCTGACAGGCTGATAAATGTGTAATATAACGTAAAATGTAAACTAAATGCCCCTGCTACAGTTAAGAGCTGTTTCCATGGATGCGTAACAACACATGTGCGCTACTGCGCCTGCGCAAGTTACTTTTCTTGATCTGTTCTTTTTTTTACAGTCTATGATCTGTTCCAGTTCTGTGTTAAAAATACAGGAAAAAACAGCAGAATGTTGTAAAATATATTTACAATTTAAAATAACGCGTTCCTATTTTAATTACATTAAAATATTATTTATTCCTGTGATGCAACGCTGAATTTTCAGCCTCACGACTCCTGTCGGCAGTGTCACATTATCCTTCAGAAATCATTTTAATATGCTGATTTATTATTAATGTTGAAAACAGTTTTCTGTTGTTATATGCGGTTATATATATTTTTTTAGCTTTTTATTCAACAATGAATGATGAAAAAAAAGTATTACAGGTTCCAACAAATATTAAGTAGCACTTTTGTTTAACATCTGAGTATCAACTCACCATTTAGAATGATTTCTGAAGGATCATGTGACACTGAAGACTGGAGTAATGATGCTGAAAATAATAATAAATAAATAAATAAAGTATATTTAAATAGAAAACCATTATTTTAAATTGTAATGTTTCTTCTTTCAAAAACATTAAAAATAGTAATAGATGCCAAATTGTTTTTGTTGACATCATTACCTTTTTAGTGGGGTAAAGAGTAGCCTAAATGTAGCCTTATTAGTTACTGCACTTAAGTATCTTTTTTGACTTTATTGTAGTTTTCTTAGACTATAGATATTAGCATATTTCACCCATATTTGAAGAAGTATACTTTTTACTCAAGTACATTTGAGACCATAATGCACTCTTCTGAAAATTAACTTTTTCTGAAGCAGTTTATTTCTGCAACAAAAAAAGCCATATAGAATTGTCAGACTGGTCAACACTTTTATTATAGGTAATTGTGAAAAGCAGTTGTTCCCTTACGACCATAAACAGTAAAAGACTTTATCGGACTTTATGCATCCACGTCAGCCCGATTGCCTGGGAGCTTTTCCTCTTGTCTATACGGTAAATTCTCTACTGTGCGACGGAGAGTCGATTCGTTATGACGCAATCGTTAGCCTATTTTTGTAAAAAACTGCTTCTGCAGGGCCATAATGTAAGATACAAGGTAATGGAGCCTTTTATACATTGTTGTATTCTTTAAAAATAGATGATGGACAAATTGAGTGTTTGGACGCCTCAGATGTAAAGTTATTCAGATGCAAAATGAATGGGAGTCAATGGAATGCTAACAGCAGGTGAAGTTCTGCTACAATGGCGGCTCCCGCGAGGCTTCAACATCCGGCTGATGGATTACCCCCTTGCTCAGGACAGGTGCCAAAGCGGGCATGCCTGGGCCTATATATATAGCTCGATAGGCTGATATAATCTGATTTTTCTTCTCTTCAGCGAAGCTCACGCTGGATCCGGAGTAAAGAAGCCGTGCCGTCTGAGAAAAGCTTTCTGCGGGATGTGCCTCTGTATTTGTCGCCGTACCTGCTAAGCTTTCCAGCGTTTATATCCTTTACTCTGCCGAGCCTGTGTTCGCCGCTGCGACTCACTCTCTCTATCTAAAAGAGCAGCGTCTTTTTAAAGATGCCTCGTTCCTGTGGCTCATGCCGAGGGTAAGGATCATGCAGCTCTCGCGCTCGCTGTGGCTCTGAGGACTCGCTTGATATTTTTTTCAGAGTCTGCACTTCCCCGCAGTAAAAAGCGCCGTACCCAGCGGGTCCCGAGCCTTCTCTAGCCTGTGAAAGCTTGCCGGTTCGCCCGCGAGCTTCACCAGCTTCACTCAAATTGCTCACCGACGGCCAACGCCCGCCATCCACCCAAGGGGGTAATCCATCGACTGGAAGTTGAAGCCAGTTGTAGCGGGAGCTGCCATCTTGTAGCAGAACTTCACTTGAGTTAGCATTCCCATTGACTACCATTCATTTTGGCGTCACTTTGACAGCGAATAACTTTACATCTGAGGCGTTTGAAGACCCCATTTGTCCTTTATTTATTTCTAAAGAAATAAATGGCCCCTTTCTTATGTTATGGCCCCGTAGAAGCAGTTTTATTGAAAGTAGGCTAACGATTGCGTCATACGAGACTCTCTGTCGCACAGTAGAGAGATTACCGTATGGACAGGAGGAGAAACGTGGAGGCAAAATTACAAAATAATTAATCAGAATACCTAGCAAAAATGTCTCCAGCTCCTGCTCACACTCTTCGCCTCTGCATGTTTCGGAAGGGAATGATTCAGATTTCTCATGCCACAGCACTAGAAGACAGACGGGTTGCTCTCGTCACATTGCGTAGTCAAGCTCTGTTTGAGTCTGCGCGTCAGGGACGGAAGTGCTAAAAAAATCGCCAAAAACGGGCTTCAATCGTCTCAATGGAGTTCCAATGAGATCGCTCTGTCCATTTCTTTTACTGTCTATGCGTCCGCCGCCGTATCCGCCATTAATGATGACAAGACAGCTGCTGCATCTAAAGCCAGGTGCTCTATCCTGGTGTCGGACTGTGAGGATTGGGCGAGCTCTGTGGATGTCCCCCCCTCTGCCCGTGAATCGTTAGGGAAACAGGCCAGCATTGAATCCGAGCTGATGCGTCTACTCTCACACTGCCCGTTCACAACCAACTGACGTGACCTGGGATGCCGGACGTGGAGCGTTCCGCTTTCCTGGACGCTTCCAAAGGACACATATATTCCAAATACGAATAGCGTCACATCACAGGTGATTCTTGAGAATTACCTTCGAGGGCAAGGCATGAAAATACAGCACCCCGTACATTTACAATATGCATGGACGCGGCTCTCGCAACCCTGAAACTTCAGGGCATGCGAGTTTTGAACTACTTGTACGATTGGCCGATTCTAGCTCGATCACACTCAGAGCTCATAGAACACAGGACCATATTACTCGACCGTCTCGAGAATCTAGGTCTCAAAGTCGATTGGGCGAAAAGTGCAACTGTCGCCAGAGCGCAGACTGAACATTCAGTACATCACGAAATCAAAACCCACAACTGGCCAGTCTCTGGGGAACAATGATCTGTTCATCTGCTTCCTTAAAGGAAAGTGCCCCCCCCCCGGGCACTTACCCTTGGGACTTTGGTGTTGGATCCCAGCATGCACAGTGTTTTACACTGTGTTCTCCGAGCGTAAGATATTACGCAGTGCGAGAGAACCTCTCGTAAGAGAACGTACTCGGTTACTAACATAACCTCGGTACCTTTGCCGTGCCTGCAACACGCTCTACTTCGATTAGACGATGAAAAACCAGATTATGTCAGTCCATCGAGCTATATTTATAGGCCCAGGCCACACCCGCTTTGTTAGGATGTGACGTAGTGGGTGCGAAGCACCCCCATTGGATCTGACGTCACCAAGGGCCTATCTCAATAGGCTGTTGCAGTTGCCGCAGGACACGCGAGCCGCCTTGCCTATGTCTGCATGCTGCCACAATGCGTTTTACATTAATTCAAAATTAAGGATAATTTTTGGCTTCAATATCTCGTGGAAAAGAGGTTTTCCCTATTACGTAGTACTCGTTTCCTCTTCTAGAGGAAGTAACAGAGTACTACGTAATATTTTACGCTAGTAACAGAGTACGTTTTATATCTGTCTTCTCCCTACAGTTTTGGGTAACGCTTCCTTTTACAGTACAGTACTTACAGTGTACTTACCTAGAAAGTACTGGCTAATATAAGGTAAGTACATGGAACAGGGGTAGGTTTAGGGGTAGGTTCAGGGTTAGTACTAGTTATTACCCAGTAATTGTAGTTACCAAAATAAGTACATAGTATTTACATGGGTAACTGGACTGTAAAAGGAAGCGTTACCCAGTTTTGTCACGCTCTCTGTAAAACGAATTAATTTCTCATATTAAGCAATATTTTAAGAGGGTGTCCCACTTTAGCTGAGTGCTACAGTCCCATTTTATCTAATGGTAAATTGGGACAGTAATAAAACTTGATACTTTTTAAAATATAAAAAAGGAATTAGGCTATCACATGAAAGTACTAAAAATTTACTGTAGATTGAAATATTCTTTGTATTCGAATGCAACCAGACAAGCTATGTAGCCTACGGGGAGAAACCATGTTCTTTTGCAGACTTTCTCACACTTGAGTGTTCACTGACGGTTATATTTGTTCCCAGTGTATATGACACTCAGGTGCATGTATTAAATAATAATAAAAAAAAAACTTTTTTACATTTTTTTATTTTATATTAAATAGGCTGAATTATAGAAATTCCTTGATTAAATTAACACAAACAATACACAAGTTACAAGACATGCAATTATTAGAAATGGTCTTACAATCGTGATTCAATACTCTCTAATGTTTTATATCTTCATAATTATATCTTTTATATGAAATTGCATTTTATTAGATTTTCTAAATTAATTAGGTCACTTTTCAAAGGCATCAATATGTATGCTATAAAACGAATCTTGCAGTATTGTCAGATATCCAAAACACTTTTACAATGTATACCGTATGCAGAGAGAAAAAGGCAAAGGAGATTTTAGATAAACTACATTAGAAGGATGGCTCATTTGAGCTATGTGTGTAAGTGCGGTTAAGTGCTTTTACGTCAATAACGGAACTGACAGATCATAAATAGATAATACACGTTTATGAGAGCTGTGCTCTGAAATATTTAAACTCCAATGTGAAAAGCAGCAAACAGCAGCGTAGGAATGTGCAAAAGTTCCTTATATTATTGCAGAAAAAATCATTTCAATTAAATATTACCCCTGTCATGATCCACCTGTTTTCTTTGCACCTGTTAGCTTGTTTAACTGCTGGAAGAAACAACACACAAGACATGGTCCCTTTGAATAATCAAAACCAGCTTTATGAAGACAAAATGAGAGACAAAGGTTGGTATATATATATATATTCATTCAAAGGTGCCCTGAAAAATAAGGACTTCCTATCAAGAAATATAAAGGTGTTCATACAGTACATAGAATGCAAAACAATTGCTATAAATGTAACAAAAAAAATATTCTGAAGATAAATCAATAGGCTATTTCTAAAAAACAAGAGGAAGA